AACATAGACACTCAAAAACTTCAATCTTACTTATCGCCCTTCTGCAAACAACTCCGAAGTGAGCAAAAGAAGCAACGCATGTGATTTTCGACACGCAAAGCTCTCCTCCTTGCTGTATATGTTAATTTTGAACGAAGGAATGGAGAGCTCCACCTTGTTCTTTATTCCCTGAAGCAACCAGAAGTGAACTGAGATACCGTGCGAGCTCAAGTACAAGTGCGACAAAACAAACATGCCGAGGCCGGGTCTGTTTTCAAGTCGTCCACATTGTTGAGTCTCGGGTGGTCCTGCTGACATGCGATCAGTCGCCAACTCCACTTGACATGGTGCGGTGAAGATGGCCTGAAGGGACACCTGAAACGCCGGCTCCGGCTCATCACCGCCCACAGAGTCCTCTTGACAAGACGCTATCTGACACAGACATGCCGCCAAAAAACGGCCCCCAATCGGAATCCTCCTTGGGCCTCAGCTTTTCTGCGACCGTCCCATCCTGCGAATCGAGTGCCGCAGACATGAACTGACAGCAAACTTGCAGAAACCCTCCCAGCAAGGAACAGCCGAAACTCCCAGCCCCGAACCCTCCCGAACCTCCCCTGCCCCGCGATCGGACGTGTGCCCCCACCATGATGTCCGCCGAATGCAGACGATGGTGCGCTGGGCGAGCATCCAAACAGCCGTGCCCCAACCCTGGATTCAGCTACTGACGCAGTCAACAATTTATTGCGCTCCAATTACCGGCATTTGCTCTCACACAGCAGGGTCCTTCTTGCGGATCAGCTCCCGCACCCAGACGATAGATGACGTTGAGGTCGTGACTGCAGAGCCTCGCAGAACGCCAAAGGTTGGTATCTCGAATCAGCCGGCCACATGTCTTAGCACCTGCACCGGTCTCAAACCTTGCAACTCTTGCGCCTGCAGATCCGGCAGATGGGCCTCACAGGGGTGCTATAACAGACGCAACGCAGCCGGGAATTGCAGATCAAACAAGAGAAAAGGCGTCCGAAGAAGCACACATCGCACGTGAATGTGCATCGCATCAAAAAGCGGACTTTGCTACTATCATGTATGAAATCTGGATCAGGGCAATGTACCTTGAGAAAGAAACAAAGATCAATGCTGTATTCTTCAAGCAGAACCCCTGTTGTATCACAAGAACATCTTGATGCACCGCGCCTGCGATAGTCCGTACAACAGCTGATTTAGCACGGCTTAGCAAGATCAAATGACATACATCTGTGCGCTGTGTGTTCTCAGCATGCGTGAATCCGTTCCAAGCCAGCCTGGAACGCGCGGCGACGTAAAGTTGTAGAAGCGGCTCAGGAAAGGTATCTCAACCATTCCTCCAGGCGCATCATGTTGACCCCTCTCCGCTAACTTCTTCACAATCTCAAAGTCGTCGGGTCCGAGGAACTCCTTCACGTGATCTGGACGCGGAATCACCAGAACTAAGCCCTCTCGAACTGTTAGTTGGCGGGCGCCCTTGGCCTTTGCTGTTGATGGGCGAACAGGTGACCATTTTCCATCCGATATCCGACTTTGCCACTTTTTACTCGTCCCCACGGGACGGTACAGCAGCCCACCCTCAGCAGACTGTTCCTCTTCGTAGACACCAGGTCCGAGCAGAAGGGGGTTCTTCGTGCCGACACAGTGAAGTAGCGAATCCTTCAGCTTGAGTGCAATCAGCACCCATAGCACAGTCCCCGCCTGAATGCATTTTTCAACCTCCTGGCAAACGTCACAGAAGGAGACTTCGGCTGACATCCCGCTCTTGTCTTGCAGCTCTATCGCGAAGTACTGCTGCTTGAGAAACAGGTCGGCACTGTGCGATTTGGGCGCTGGTCTGTACAATCTGTTGCTGCTTACGCTTTGCATAGCAGCTGTAAGATTGTTGGGGTGCAACGTTTTGGGGAGTGGAAGACTGATATTCTCGCAGCATGTGGTGGCGTTCGTGATCTTTGGAAGGGTCTCTAGGGGACATCCCTGGTCCAGGATCACCTGAACTTTCTCTGCTAGCGTTCCGCGGAGCAGTGGCGCTTTGGCCCGGCAGTCTTTGGCTCATGCAAGTTTGCACGATAAGTCGTTGCTCCACCATCTTCTCCAGAAGGTCTTCAGCTCTGATTCCATACGCTTCACCTCCAAAAAACAGTGGCACGCGGTAATCTGAACTGTATCTTTCTCGTGCAAACTTTTCTATCATCTTCATGTGACAGATGTAGAAGGCATCTGGCATGCCCTGGATCGGTTGTCCAGGCTTGGTTATGTAGACGTTCAGGCGGCCCAGTAACATTTCCAGCGATTGTTCATGACACCCCACTGGCAGTCTAATCTCACGGTTGCAGGGTACGCGCAGCTGGGCCAAGAGGATCAAGTACAGCCACGTCTGGCGAAACTCGGCCTCATGTTCTCTAGCCAGAAAAACCTCGCTTCTGACTTGCCGTACTTCCTTGGACAGGATGCCGTAGACTTCTTCCATGGTCTTGTCTACATCTGATTGCTTAGCATCTTCGCCTTGTTGATCTTGAAGCACATGGTGTAGAGCTCGCAAAGTGTAGACCAAGAGTCGCGGACTGCCTCCTGTCCATTGCTGCAAAACTTGTGGCAGCTGCGGTAGCTGGTCCAGGCGACGCGAGAGCAGCTCGCACGCCGTGGATGTCTCAATGATGTGCTGGATGTGTTGCTCCTGCAAGGCTTCTCTAGACATAAGATTGAAACTTGATCAAAACAACTTAGAAAATGCAAACACAGAAAGACAGTGCATTCCACGAAGAGCACTCGCGGTAAAAGTGGCTTCAGAACCTCGAAGCAGGGCTTTGAAACATGTCAAGACTCATCAGCTCCTGCAGCAAATCCAAAATGATCCACTTCGTTCCAACTGCAGATGCAGGTGCACAATCGCAGTCAATGGGATACTCTTGCCACTCAAATAGAAGTAGACCCGAGGCATTTCGCCGCCATACTCAAGTATGCGCTGCCAAGTCTGCTGCACAGCATCACGCAAATACCTGACATTGTCTCCAAGTTCCCCGACGTCATCGAAATGGACAAACAGCGGAGTGTTGCACTTTACAGCTTTATCAAGAATCCACTCGGCAATCTTGGCAACTTCTGGTCCTAGTTCCATCCGGTCATAGAGCTTGTAAACGACATCGCTCAAAGTTTTGCAGAACCGCAGATCAAAATATTCCACAGTAGCACTCTGCGCCTGTGTCAGTTCATGCTGCCAGGCAGCACCCAATTCCTGCCCCTCGCAAAACCTTAAGAACTCTGAGTCCTTCAGCTGCTTGATAAAGTTGCGCCCAAACCTGGTTTTTCCACTGCCAAACATTTGCGCAGCTACAGCCACGCGGCATGGCCGCCAATTATCAATGTCTTTTTTGCGAGCACGGCAATGGAGTAATTTGAGAATAACAGCAGCATTCGTATGGAACAGGTCGAAGACCTCGCTGTGTCTGTTCACGAATGGCACCTCCTCGTCAGGAAGAACTCCGCTGTAGTCGCCAGAATCAAGGACTTTGGACTCCCAGTCGCCGGTCGCTGTACAGCGCTGACGCTTGGCAGGCGGGTCTGCGACCATAGCGGTCGTTGCCATCTGTTGCGGCGAAATGTAAAGAAACAAAACTGCTCCATGATTCGGGACGCGTTTGCTAAGCACTGCATATGGCTGAGTCACAAGCGTAGAAAGTTACAGACACATCCCAGAAGGTTCAAATCTGAAGAAGCTTGGTTCCGAGACATGACCTCCAAGTGACGTGCATGCTTTGTCTAAGCTTCTTCCTTGCATTCCGACAATTCTTTCGCCCAAAACCACAAAGGCGCCCGGCGACCAAATTCGTTGCTGCACGTGGAGCATTTCAGCTTCAAAATGCACAACATATGTTCCGGACTCTGCAAAGACATCAAAGCTATAGTCACCCAAATTTCGAAACTAAAAAAGTACAACGTCGTCTTGCACTGTCCACCATCCATGCATGCAAAAACGCGTGGACTCCAGAGAGAGACAGAAAGAAAGAGAGGGAGAGAGAGAGAAGGGGAGGAGAGAGAGGGAGGAGAGAGAGAAAAGAGAGAGAAGAGGGAGAAGAGGGAGGAGAGAGAAAAGAGAGAGAGAGAGAGAGAAAAGGGAGAAGAAGAGGGAGAAGAAGGAGAAAGGAGAGAAGAGAGAGAGACGGGAGAGAAGGCAGAGAAGCGACGAGAGGGAAAAAAATCTGCGGTTTTCTAAAATTGCTTCTGCCCGCTAGAAACACAGAGGGTCTTTCTGATGGATGGAGGCGGCGAGCTGCTCCACCCCCTTCTTTAAAAAGTCGCAATTTTCTAACACACTCCTCCGGTGACAACATTAATTTGAGGCGAGGAGACCAACCATGCCGTCACGGCCATCGCAGCAGCCGAGGCGGTGGCCAACGGTTCCACCGACACCCAGCTCCTGGGAGAATCCCGACAGCGCCGCAGCCCAACGGGACGTCGCCATAACCGCGGGGATACTCGATACTTCCCGGTCAACGTCGACGCATCCTCCCTAGACCGGCTCTGAGGGGCGCCTTCATCTTGGGCAACGCAGCCACGCTGGAACTGAACTGCGACTGCTACAGCAAGTCCGAAAGCGACTCCAGACACTACACGAAAGGCCAATCCGACGCTGCTTCTGCGCCTCCTTGAACGTTCGTGGTGTTTAGTAAGTACATGCAGGACATAGGATTCAGATACAGGACTTATAGATGTACTTGATGCACTTGCATAAGATGACTTATATATACTTACATAAGTTGAAATAACGAACTTAGCTAAGTCAAGTTAACATACTTACCTAAGTGACGTATATCCTTATAATATAGGGGACCCTCATACCCATATTTCGAGGAAATGCCCAGAGGCTGCAGCAGCAGCCGCAGCTGCCAGCGCTGCCTGCGTACAAGCACGTGTTCAAATAACACATGGATGTATGTGCACTGTCATGCTATCTGTGCACGCGCGCAGGGCTACAAGCTCGCGTGCAGTGCTTTTTTTTAGCTTGGCAAGACAACGATGGCATCGCTTCCCTGCACACTGAACGGGCATGTATCCTGCAAGCAGGAGGTCTTCACCAGCACGCCCTCGTCGGAGATTCTGTACACGCAGCCGTGCACATGAGTCCAGAAGGTGATGTGCGTCCAGCAAGACTCTCCCACCGCCACGTGGTAGCCCACACGGCCCACATGCGTGACGCCCTCCAAGGTAAGCACAGCCACATCTTTGGCGCTGACAGCAAAATTACCGCCGTGTATGGCCTGCGATGCAGTGTAGACAGGCTCTTGCGTGCGAAGCACGCTCTGGACAACCGTTTGCAGGGCCCGAGGGGCAGAGCGCACCGGCTGTATCAGATGAACTTGATGGCCGGGCACGAAGGCTTTGGTCGCCAAATTGCCCAGCTGTCCATACAAGACATCATCCAGAATGCTCCTCTCGAATGCGCGGCTGGTATCAGCAATGTTGGACGCTATTTTCTTTATAATTTTGTGTTTTCTTTCGCGTGGGTAACACGAAAGCAGGCATCCATGGGCATCATGGGCATGAAACTGCAGCGGGGGGTGGAGCGCCAGATGACACTTCGGAACCCACCACCCCTCTCCGTACAGCTCCTTAGCCTTCTCCAAATGAGATCGGATCAGACCTTGGAGCTCAGCGGGTGAAGTCCTGCCTTTGGCAATTGCCATCAGGGCATCCAGCACAACGCAAAGCGCAAGCCACGCCTCACATGATTTAATCAACTGCTCATTTGCTGTTGGCATGACCATGAGGATGACGTAGACGCGCAGGACGATGTAGAAGTTGAGGCCTTCAGACGCCCCGCATTTCAGAGGGCCGTGCTTTTTGGACCTCTTCTGCAAGGCATCCTTTGGGGCTGCTCCACGTGTTCGGGCCGGCCAGGTGAACTGCTTGAAAAAGGGTCTCAATTGTCTTGGCCGCGAAGCCATGGTCATGGAGATCACCCAGAAAGAAGCCAGTGAGAAGGTTGAAGACTCCCGTCACCATGTAGATATGCATCCAGTCGTACATTACAGCATCTATAATTGGTGGCCCATATGCCGGGTGTGCCAACACCCCGTCTGGCCTGTAGTTGAAACCCAGAGCACTTTGCACTTTGTCAAACTGGGCTGCTGTCAAGTTTGCAGATTGCTCCTCCAAGTAAGTCACGGTTGCTCGAATGGATGCCGGAGTGTGTTTCCTGAATTTGGAAATGTCGGTCTCCAGACTCGACACCAAATCATTTTCGTGGCCATGGGATGCAATGCTGCTTTTGCTGTCGTATATGTTTTGCAAGGCCACGCACATGACAATCCCAGATGCCCCTTTGTTGGCCAAAGAGTGTTTGATGGCACTTTCGTCAGCGATTAAGATCTTCAGATCGCTGAACAGAAGACGGCTCTCATTTCCCACACGTAGGCAAAGACCGCGTCTGAAATCCGGGTTCTCGAAGAAGAGTGCGCGAGTTGGCGCCAGAGCGCCGTCATGCCCCCCAGCTGCTGAACCAGGGAGCTCCTAAGAGCCACTAGTGTGAACCACAAGTTTTCGCAGCTCAGTTCACGAGCACTGAATTGACTGAAGCTCCAACACACAACCTGGACTTTCCGTGAGTTCACGTGTCGAAGCTGGTTGCCTGGGCTAACTTCGTCGTTGCACCAAACCAAGCCCCATGGGCAGTCCAAAGTTGGTAGCACCTGCTGCAAACGTTCTGCAAGCAGCTTCCCAAATGGAGCACAGTGCTCTGCAGCGTGACGCAGAAGCGCGGCTGGATGAAGGATTTGAGTGCTGACTGTACTAGATCCATGAGCCTTCTGGAAGTCAATGTTTTGCAAGACTGGCCCAAATGGCGTCTTGCAGGAGTCTGTCCAGCGGTCTCTGGATCGTTTGAGCGTTGTCCTACTAGTAGCATCTGGCAATTCCGGCAGCTCCTTCAGTTCTTGTAGCACCTTTGCAAGAGCGCTCTGGGACACAAATGACTTTCTTCCGATGCAACTCAAGCAGTCACTGCTAGCAGGTGTCGCCGGTTTTGGTGGCATCAGAGTTGCTGTTTTCAGTATCCCCTAAAGAGTGAGCGTTTGCAGGCAAACTCAAACTAAAATATTTCTCAAGTAAATCTACCCGGCAGGCAACTGATCAAATTTATCCATCCGAATATCTGGATCTCATCTCCAATATATATATATATATATTCAACTCAAGTCTCAATAATAATCATGCAAGGACAGGCTTTTTGGCATGGCGGAAATCGTCCCAAGCGGTGAGCCAGCTAGATACGAAACTCGTGTCGCATCTCTGACCCCGTGAGACACGTGTTGACTCCCGTCCTCCCCAATCAGGGTTGGGTGGGTGGGTGTCAAAACCAAAAGCTGAGCCTAAATAAAGCGCGGGAAACTGATTCATCAACTGACATCTCACTGAGGTTTCAAATCTCAAAATGACTCACATGGATTTCAAGGAAAACTGAAAACGAAATTCAACTCAGTAAACCCAGTTTTCAGTATTTCCAGGTTTGCAGAACCACAGCTAGCAAAGCAAGACTGTAGCCCCAAGCTGTCACTTCGGTCGGCGTGAAACGCCACAGGGAGAGCAACCACTGCGCAGCAGAAGCAGCTGTACAGCTAGGTACTGCAGTGAAATGCTCAAGCCAAGCTATTAACAATGGTGGGCCCATCAGGTAGCAAGAAGTCCGACTGATGGGTGGTCCACTCGAGTGAAAACAAAATGCGACAGAGTCGCTTACTACGACTGGCAGCAGGAAAGCTAACTACTAAGCACTAAGCGGCTGCCATGACTCAAGGCAATGAAGGACATGCAGCACACAGGAAAGACACGGGCTGGGGTGTCAGGGCCAGGCACATGACGCAGAGTGGACTTTGATGAAGCCACTCAGTCCAGCAGGACAGGTACGGGCCTGGCACAGCTTGAGCAGGCACACAGGTTGGCAGGTCCAGGTGAAGGTGAACTGCTTGCCTGTCACTGACTCCAAGAGGGGCCTCACTTGCCGCGAGCGGTAACACGGGTGAGGTTTAGGGCCATGCGCAAACATCGCAAGAACACGGGTGAGGGAAGGGAAGGCCTCAGCAGTTGAACCACGCAGCTGCATGAACGTCGAGGCCATGAAAGGTTTGGGCCTGGCGCAGGCAGCGCACGCACACGGGTTAGGGCTATTCCAGTACCAGGTGTCCCAAGAATTGGGCGAGGCTGTCACTGGCCCATTCTGTTGCCCCGCTCTTCTCAGCAGTCACCACAGATGTGGTTTGGGGTCAGGCGCATAGCGCAAGCACACGGGTTAAGGAATGTTGCAGGGCGCAGGCAACGCCAGCACACGGGTTTGGGCTGGGGACCAGTAGCAGGTCTCCATGAAAGCGGCGAGGATTTCATCGGCACTTGCAGTGGCCCCAGTCGTTGCAAGAAACAACACGGGTCTGGTTTGGGTCAAGCACAAGCACACACGGGTGAGGTTTAGGGCCAAGCGCAAAAATCGCTAGCACACGGGTGAGGGAAGGGAATGCCTCAGGGGTTGAACCACGCAGCTGCATGAAAGTCGAGGCCCTGAAAGCCCCACTAGCCAAGAACAAGGCGGCCACGGCGGAAGGCCATGCAGCAAACAGCAGGGGGTGTGGGCCTAGCGCAGGCAGCGCACGCACACGAGTAAGGGCTGGGTTCCAGTAGCAGGTGTCCCTAGATATGGGCGAGGCTGGCACTGGCACTTTCTGTAGCCCCACTTTTCTGAAGCAGTCGCCACAGACGTTATTTAGGGTCAGGCGCAAAGCGCAAGCACACGGGTTTGGGCTGGGGACCAGTAGCAGCTCTCCATGAAAGCGGCGAGGATTTCATCGGCACTTGCAGTGGCCCCAGTCGTTGCAAGACACAACACAGGTCTGGTTTAGGGTGATGCACAAGCACACGGGTTAGGGAGTTGTTGCAGGCACAGGTCCCTGAAGGTGAGCCTTCAACAGTTCACTCGCCCCAGCTGAGGCCTTGATCGCTGCAGTTTCCCAGCTCACGGAAGCGCGGTACTCCCGATGCCATCGACGCCTTGCTGAGTACTGCCAGCGAGCCCTGCATGCAGAGGAATCCAGTCCACATGGTGCGCTCCATAAGGGGCGCTTCCCATGGCTCGGGACCCAAATGAAGTCGATGTGCACCTGCAATGCCTCCAACACAGCAGCGGCGCAAGAAATCTCGGACATCAAAGCAGGGAGAGCAGAAGCCTCCGGGCACCTAATGCCAGCAACGACGGCTTCACAGTCATACAGGATCTGTACTCGGCCACTGCATTTCCCAGTGAGGCGCAAGAGGCCGCGTACAAGCGCAAGAAAGGCAAGAGCCTCCTGGCGGTACGCTGCTTGGTCCTCTGAAGCATCCCCAGTAGCAAACAGGCCATCCGGCTCACTGGTGACAACAGCGTAGCCCGCAACGCCTTCAAACGCACTGCCATCGGTGGCAACTTGCACAGGAGTTTGTGACAGTGCTCAGAGATGTCACCGATGAGCTCGTGGCACGCGATGGAGGGCGGAGCCCTCGGCCATTCGCTGACAGGGGCTGCCGACAAACGCTCAGCGGCTCTATCCCCCGGCTGCACGACAGGCCTTGGCGGCAGATAGCTGTACGGGGACAAACCCAGGTCATACGCGGCCTGCTGGGAGCGAGCCCTTGGCAAAGGCATCTGACAACCGTGCCCCTTGGCAGATGCAGGGAAGCGCCCCAGCACCATCCAGCGCCTGCGGAGGCAAGAGCGGCGCGTCTTACAGCAAGCGGTCCGGACACGCCAAGTTGCTGGTGTCCCTCAAGGGCATATCTTCTGGAGATCGCAGGCCTGGGCAACTGCATGCCACGCGCGCAGTCAGGATTATCACGATGCAGCGAAGTTTTAACCCGGCCACAACGGTGTATCCCGGCAAGTTGATGGGCATCAATGAGCCATGGGCGCAGCACAGACACAGAATCCCAACCAATGTTAACAGTACGAAGACAACCACTGTCGTCGTATCTGTGTATTGATCGGCCATCCTGGGAGACAAACCAGCCAAGCCTGGTAATGACACTGTTGGCCTCAGGGACAAGGGTTGCCCAAGGCGTGCACGCTGCAGTGATGGGAACAGTCTCAAGCCAGCAGGCGGCTTGGCAACAAATCGCCACGCAGCAAGGAGCGTCTCTCCAGTTACGGACCCAATGGGGATCCCACTGCCACCCATGGACCGCAGCAATGAGGACCCAAGGCGCCTCATCAGTGACATGAAGGCTGAGCAGGGACGTAATCTCAGCACGCATGGCAATCAAATCAGCTTCAGCCGGAGACGTGACGCCGCTGGCCAGAACATGGCCGAGTGAACTAGACACTGCAGAACCAACCTCTTGACCTCGAAAGACGGGTTGAGGGTGCGGAGGAGCCGAAGCTTACGAAGAAGCCCCTGCAGACAGAACCGGATTGGCGAGGAGAGGCCGCTGCCAAGGTCAAACGAGACCCCTAACACATCCAGGCACTGAACCCGCTTGTAACCCCGCTGGAGCGCAAGCGTGGCAAGGGTGTGGACACCCGGGCATGCTGCAATGGCACACTTCGACGGCCTACATTGAAACCGAAAAACGGAATCAAACTCGTCGGATCTCTCAAGAGCCTCCCTGACAGCAGACAGCGGGTTGCTCGCACTCTGCGTGGGCCATAAAACCCTATCATCCACAAAGATGAGGTTGTCGGTTTCAGCAGGCGCAAAGGAGAGGCCCTGGGCATCCCGCGATCCATTCGTGTAGAGGGACCATGCACCGCCAACCACAAGCGAAATCAAAGGGCTGAGAGGGCATCCCTGTAGCAAACCTCTGGCGCTGGTAGACCAGCCGCTAGAGTGCCATTGGCCCACCCTGAAGATTCTACTGGGCTCAGCATAGAAGGCCTTCAACATGGTACACAGGGCCGGTGGTGCACCAAACCGCCTCAGGAGCTGGCAAACTGCACTGACATCCATGGAGTCGAAGAAGGAGGATAAATCCTGTTGCACAAAGGTCGATGCGCCTTGGGCACGGGCAAGCATAAGGCAAGCGTGAGCACAGGATCCCCTGCTCGCCACATCACACTGCAGAGTGCGATAGGACGAGTTTCGTCCTGCCGTTTGCGCAGTAGGGCTAGCTATGGCTGCCCGTCGCCACTGTTTGGGAAAAAGGCCAGCCAGGACGCAGCTGTTCCAACACCTTGCCGCCGCATCCCACCACCAGGTTGGAAGGATGGCAAGCACCTCAGGAGACCAGCCGTCCGGGCCCGGTGCCTTCCCGGCCATCTTTTGGTTGGCCCGCATGAGCTGTGGACCCGTGATGTGAATTTGACCCTCAAACTCAGGCAGAGGCCGAAAGTTGCACAGGAGCTTTTCGACGCGATGGAGGTCAATGGGGTCAACAGGATTCCACTTGTGTTAGTCCACTTCTCACTCTGGCCCCGCACTACTTCCGCAGGGTGAATGGCACGTGGTGGAGTCTCAGGATCACAGGGGGTCTGTTCAAGCAAGCTGGCAACCCGGCAC